TTTCCATTTTTTTTGTCCCACTTTCTGACACCAATTTGTTACGTCTCTGATTGTTAATTGACTTTTCCGTAACTTCGTTCCGACGAAATTTTAACGACACAAGTCTTTACTTAATAAAACTGGTTTATTCTTTCCGAATATAACTTTACCGATACACTCAACTTCAACAATCGCGCTAAACGAACGTCAATAATACTTCTGACTGCAGTTCAATTACTCACTGTCTACACTTCCTCCCGCGTCACGTTGTCCCCTCTTATATATATATCCGCCTACCCTATATCTAGTAAGAACTTGAACATTCGCCAAAGTACATGATAGTTCTAGAAACGTTGCGTCATAGTAGTCATGTGACTCGCTGACGCAACAGTACAAAAAACACTAAAGGAACTTAGAAGATAAGAGACACGTAAATATTGAACTTACAAGTCCACTCATAAAACCAATAAGACAAAGAACACAAAAGTAAACCTACCCTGAAGAATATGAGAATGTAAAGGCACCCAGTTAACAACAACAAAATTTGATTCAGAACTAATTCCCAACTAGCTGTGACTAATACTAAAAAAAAAAGGGATCTTACAAACTAGTTAACATAAACAGTGAAAGGAAGTATCAATAAGGAGCCAATACACCCACAAAATTGGCCAAAGTTACAATTACTCAAACACTAATTATCGTGCAAAACTAAAAATTAAACAAAAACAAAATAATAAACAAACTCTAAATGCAAATTTAAATTGAAGTAATGTAGATGGTAAAAATATTATAAAAATAAAATTAGGAAATTAGGTCAATCCACACAAGCTCCATAAACTTGCTAAACATAGTTATACCTACTGGGAGTTAGGAATACCTGTTGAAAACTAACCACAGATCTCCTGGGAAAAAGAACAATACCTTACCCAGGAGATTACATACAGTAACAGGTGGAAGGTGCTATAGAAATAAATTTCCACTCAATAGGTATATCTTTCCTCAAAAAATTCTAACATCGAAGGAAAAATTGCCAGCTGAACATAAGACATGAACTCTCCGTGAACTAAAGCCTATACTTCTCCAGAAAATGTCGTTGACCCTGAGACTTTGGGACTCGTGTAAGAACCATTGGTGACGGTCATAGGAACTTTCTCATCTGCTATATTAAATCTCGAATTCATATGAAGAAAGTGGAATTCAGAAAACAGAAATATTTCTAAAACAAATGAATAGAAACAATGAAAATCAAATACAAGTCGAAACTTGAATTTGAAACTGATATAAATTTGTGATCAAGCACAATCAAAATTTTGTTGTCACATGGAGAGCTAGTTAAAACACATGTCTACACACTAGAATGCCAATTGAGAAAGGTTTTGAGTCACGGACAGTAATCTGACATTTGAACTTTGAAAACTTGCAGCCTTCCGTTTTCCATTGGACTTTTGTTATTATTTTTTAAAATTCACTCCATTCTTTGAGTAAAATAAAAGTTTTTCATACCAACACAGTTATTTTTCAATATTAATTTGTCAGAAGGTTTCTGTACTTTACAGAGAGAAAATGTTACTTTTAAACATCAGAAATTATTTGCTTTAGCACTTTACACTTCATTAAAAAAAAAAAAAATTATACTCTATAATGGTTTCCAAGGTGCTTGAGTTTTGGGTCTCATTTGAAAACTATTACAACTTTTGTATGTGATCCTGTGTGCTAACTTCTGAATCAGAAGTTTTTTATACATTACTCTGACTGCTTTGTCACCCTAAAAAGTTTTGAGTCATAGACAGTAATCTGACATTTTAATTTTGAAAACTTGTAACCTTTCATTTTCCATTGAACTTTTATTATTACTTTTTATAATTTTCTCCACTTGAAAATTTTGAATACAAGTAAGAATCCATGTAGGCTTATGTACATTTTAGTTTTTTTAGTAAATCAATAGCAATTTTTAATAAATTGTATCACTTCTAATATAAGTATGTCCAGCATGGTTACAGATGATTAAATAGTATCCTCAGTATTTTAAAGAATAATTGTTCTTAATTTTTGGTTTAAACAGTTACCTGAAATGCATTATCTGATAGTTAAAGCCTTGAAAGTTAAATTTGTGTTGATTAGATAAAGTAGTGTAAAAGTGCTTTTACAATGGTACCTGTTGGCATTTGGACATAATAGGCCACAATACTAGATTTTCATAAGAAATGTATACTATTTATGTGAAAATAAGTATTACTGATTGTGGTGGTGATCTTCATGGGAATAACTTAAAACTTTAACTGTTAGGTGTTGAAGTTTTCTTTATTCATTATCATGTCACACTTAAAAATCTCCACAGAGTATTCAATGATTCAGTTTTTCAATCATGTTTGTTGACATAAGACATTCTTATTGTAGAGAGTTTCCGACTTCTTTGTCCAGAAGGTTTTGGATACATAATATTTCACGATGGAGTTGTGGAAGGTATGTCATTACAACCATTTTAAAATAGTTCTGTACTTATTGCATAGTTTCTTTTGCCCAGGACCTATGAAGAAGTATGTTATTCATTAACAATCCTTCAATCTTAAGGCTAGCAAAGATGAAGCTTCTATTTACTGTTGTAATTAATTAGTAAGAAATAGTATTAAAAAGGGCTTCAGTAATATGTATTCAAAAAGCAATTATAGTTTCTTTAATGTATGTGGAGATAAAATATTAAAAATGGTGTAATTCTGAAATTGAATTCTGTTCAGAACACCAAAATTGTGTTGTTGTGGATAGTTACATTACTTTCATAAAGATTAATTCACATGTAAACTAGGTCAAATAACTCAGTAGGGATTTTATTCTAGTACAATTTATATGTTATGTTACTAATATTAACTGATTAATTTGAGTTTTACTACCATAATGGGAGCTGGAATGCCAACTTCAGGAGGTAAGGTTTTCTTACCCACTGCCACAATGATAGAACCTTATTTCTTTCTCTTTTATTGTTAATTTCTTTTCTTCTGGGAACAGTAACCTTCCCATAATTGTCTGCAAGCAGTGAAGTGTAATATAGATGTGGGCTTGAGCACCCACATCTTGCCTCTCTGATTTTATTTTATCATTATTATTTTTCTTTATTTTACTCTTCTGTTATTTATGTGTGAGGCCTTGCAAATGGAGGTTATGACTAATAGATAATGTTTCCCCACTGCTATATGGATCGTATTTCCATAATCACCTATAAATACCAGGACACGTCTTATATCTCACATTATATATTCTGTGCCCTTGCGACTTTATTTTAGTTATGCAGCATTATATTTCTATTAAGGCTTGTTTTGTATCACATATATACACACACACATAATAAGAGCATGTTCAATATACAAAATAGGAATATAAAATTAATGTTGAATTAATGTGAATGACAAATGAATAAAATTTAAAACATACTTTCATAAAAATGAGTTCATACTACATTAATATCTTCCAAACAGTTTCTATTGGAATCAGATAATGAATCTTTTTGAGTCATCAAGCAAGTACTTTTTAATTTTCTTTATATCATGTATTATTTGAAAAAATTCAAGAAAAGTTTTTATAATGTAAACAAGTCAGTAAATTTTTAATTCAGAAAATTGTCTTTAATTTAATAATTGATGAATAAGTAACAGTTATGCAGAAAAGCAAAGTAAAAAATTACGAATGGATAACAAATTTTAATTGTCTTTATATTAGACATCAATGAATGTATGATGGATACTACTCGATGTGAGAATGGCATATGTATCAACACAGATGGTTCATATCGCTGTGAATGTCAAGAAGGCTTCAAATTAGATGACACAAACAATAGATGTGTTGGTTAGTAAAAGCTGTAATTTGTTATATAATGATACTTCAGTGTAAACTTCAAATTGTAATGTTTCTGTTCATTTGTACAACATATATAATGTGTATTTTTTCTTTTTAAGATTTTTGTTTCTGGCTCCTTTGGTTTTATACTTTGTGTTAATGTACTTATCTAAAGTTTATGAAAAAATGTACTGAATAATAATGTGGAAATAAGAAGTTGATAATTATAAATTTTTTAATAGTTGTTGAAAAAGGATTAGATTTAACTGCTGTGTGTTAAAAGTCAGAGTGTGAAAAGTAAAGCTAATGCTATACCTTAAAAGAAAATTTGTTTTTAAAAATAGTAATATAAATTATGTTTTTGCTTGAATACTTTAAAATAGTATTAACTTAAAATGTATAGTGTATGTTAATCAAAATAATATATTCCATATCAGATTTAAATAATCACTAATTGTTTTAGCCGTGTATACCCCTAGTTCTTAATGATTACCATTGAAACACCTCACTAAGTGCGATATCTAGCTGATAATTACTGTGTTTGTTCTGGATAGTTTTTATATCTATGACAAGGTGAATTCTTTGAAAACTGAAGTAGAATAGCTAAACTTTAAATTATTACTCTGTATAAAACATTAAAGTAACAACTAGATGTATACATGAACATACTAGTTAATACTACCATATAGAATTATGTAAGTCATAATTTGTGTTGTTTTGTGCTATAAATATTTTTGTAATTATATGTTACAATTTTTGACTAATAGTCTTAATTTTTTCACAACTAAATTTTTTAAACTTCTTTACTAGAATCATTTCACATATTACAGTATCAGATAAACTATATGACTTCATGTATTTAGTTAACTTAGAGCTTTTTGTTAGCTTTGACTATTGTCAAACAATTAACTTTTCAATACTAGAAAATAATATTTTAGTTTTAATTTTTTGGGAAGGTCAGTAATGATTTTAGGATATGTATGTATGTGTATAAGAGATATATTGTACATGTATAAGTTGTTCTGTTGTGAAAAGATTTCCATAACAGAACAACTTATACATGAAAATCCAAATTCTGAATTTTTGATATAAATTTAATTATATTTTTAAACTTCAAAATTTTCTTTGCTGTGTATTTACAGACGTGGATGAATGTGCTGAGCCAGACATTTGTGGTAATGGGACCTGTAAAAACTTGATTGGTGGTTTTGAATGCTCATGTCGAGAAGGATTTGCTCCAGGACCAAGACAGACTTGTGAAGGTAAGTTAACAAATTTCTGAATTTTATTTAATATTAGTTTTTGTATAGGTTTTTTTAATTGTCTAACCATAACAAGAGAGGATTATTAAAATTCAAAATATAGTATAGAATAACAAATTATTACTTTCAAAAACTATTTTGTGGATCATTAATTTATTAGTTATTTTTACTATCTTGTATAAATTTTTAGTTCTTTCAAATTAATTTCACGTATTTAATGTATATTATATTTTTTTGTAGGTCATTGATAAGTTATTTTGTCAATCCTGGTTACTATTAATTTCTTGCTGGAAGGGGAATTATAATATACCCAATAAAAAAGCGTGTTTGATGTTAAGAGAAAAGCCAAAGTTTAAACACAGCTTCATTTGTATAAAATGTGGTGAATTATTAAAATAATCTCTTAAAAAATTAGTGGATCATATGTTTAATTGTAGCATCCTCTATTGAACGCCATAATTCCGCACTGATTTCTCAAAGCCCGTTCCCTTGGCTGAGGTTCTTATGTTAAGTAATACCCTAATCATAAAATAACGTTTTCCATACAGTACATTAACTCCTCTCACATAAATAGCTATTCTCGTTCAGTGCTTCCCTCTATATGCAAAAAAAAATTATGCATGCCACAAACCTTTTGTCTCCCCACCATTAGAATTGACTCATTCCAATGCGTCTCTAATGCAAATCATCATGCATCAACCCTCTACCATCAAGAACAGAACACACACTCATGACGCATATGACTACCTCTATTCAATTCTACTGAACTATCAGTTCTCATGATCAGACATTTTTTCTTTTGGTGCTCTTCTTGTGAATCGTTTCCATGATTTTAATAGTTTAATTACCGAAGTGGGATTTCTTCATTACTTTTTTTCTTTACATTGAAGAAACCTTTTAATTTAACTTAATTTCCCAGTCTTATTTTTTTTTACACTCGCATATTTTATATCAAACACTTTTGTCTGATTTATGTATTTCTACAATGAATTCTGAGGTTCATGTTCCCACTTCAGGTGTTATATCTGTAGCACTATTTTCACAGGCTGCAGGTGGGGGAGACCCGTCCTTGGATTTCTCTGCTATTATCCAGTGTGAGATTGATCATTATATGAGTCATCCTCCTTCTCCTGAACAAGCCAAACCTGTTTGTACCAATGAAAGTTTGATAGCTATTTACACCACCAGATTTTGCCGTGTCTTTCCCTACCCATCCTGCAGAATCAGCTTGGCCTAATATGGCATTTTTCGACATGATTTCTTAGGTATATAACGTTTTATCAATTCCCCATTTTTCTATGATTCCATATTACCTCCATGTTGGCTCGTTTGTAATCTTCGGCTCTCACTTTACACGTGGTTTCCCCATTGATGGGATCTTCTGGGTCATGATGTGCCCTTGTCCTAGGTTCGTTTACTGCCTCTCTCTTTTGGAGATTTACGTATGGCTCTTCTTTCTTTGGAAATATGTTTTTGGTCATGTATCCGAGATTTTGGAATCAAGTGTGTAACCTGTTGCATCAACACTCTACCCTTTTTTGTTTGGTTGCACATTTGTCACAGTAGGAGCCATGACAAGCCCTATTCCTTTCCCATTCTGGTCCTTATCTACCCTTCCCTCTTCCTCCTTCCAGAGATTTCTCATCTCATAATTTTATTCAACATCGTTGGGTATATTGCCAACTGTACCAGAGACTAACCAGTGGGTTCTGGCCCAGTGGGAGCTTGATCTTTCACTACAGACCCATGGGCTCTTTGGGTTTTATCAGAGGGACTTGTCCTACTATTTTTTCCCCACCTCATTTGTCTCGGGTACCCTTTTCCTTCCCAATGATATGGGATCCTTGCTCCAGCCAAAATCTGTCCAAGGCAGTACAAGATTTCTGTCTCAACAGACCATTTGCACCTGTTCATCATCTTTCTCCAGACTATTTGTTGTCCTCATGACAAACTGTAGGCTGGCGACCTATACTAAGTTTGTCCCACCTTAATCTAATTTTTGATGTATCTCATTTTACCTTTGAGTCGTTTCCCACCCATAGGTTGGCTTTTTCTCAAGGTTTATAGATGACCAAGAGGAATGTGCACAAATACTTATTTGCATATCCCAGTATCTCGTTACTCACGACCCTCTCTTCTAGTTGTTCTCCATGGGGTGACTTATCTGTTTTGCGCACTGCCCTTCAAACTTGCTTTTTGCTCTGTATGTTTTGTTGGGCAGTCAGAGCATTCATTCATCACTTACACATGCTCTCGTGTTTCACTTTCCTCTTTCTTTGGATGAGTGGCTATTGTTAACTTGTTCTGAACAGGAGTCTGCCTGTTACCCTTATCAGCTTTTCCTGGAGATAGATATAGTGGTCTGGTTAATCGAGTTGGAGAAGCCCTTACTGCAACCTATCCATTTGGGTGTTTTTCTTTTTCAACACACATCAGTTGGGCCCACCCTTCTCCTCTTCAACTTTGTTTGATGGGTTTCCAGTTCAACGACAGCTTGCGAGGTTCTATCAATTTTGGGGATGTGATCTTTCATGGGAGTCTTTATTCCCTTAGGTCCGGCTCATTTGTGGGCTCTTCATGACTAGTGGAATCTTGCAAGAGATCCTTTATTGGCTCTTATTACCCTTCCTCTTATCCTTGTCGACAATCAGTATTGGTGCTTAGACATGCCTCACATGTCAGCAGGTATCCCACTTCCCCCTCCTCATCTGGATTTATGCATTTAATGGATGCATCCCTTCAAGAGTGGAAGGAGGGGCATGAGTTGATCAACTGGTAGATTCGGGGTTTTGTTCTGTAGCTAAGAGGTCTTATTATATCAATATACTGGAGCTTCTCACTGTAAGTTGTGATTTGGTTCATCTGGCCAGAAATCGTCTGGTAATAATCCATTCCAACTTTTCATCAGTGGTTGCTTATCTCAATCACCAGGGTGACGTCCATTCTCAATCCCTCTGTATTCCTTCTGGATCTTCTTTTTGGGGCCACATGCTCAATATTCATATCATTGCATGTCATGTTCCGGGTGCTTTCTCTCTTGTCACAGATCAGATTCCTGTCCAGACAAAACCTATCTGATGGAGTGGTCTCTCATTCTCTGTGTTTTCCAGTGGCTTTGACTTCAGTGGGGTACTCTTCACATTGATGATTTTGCCACATCCCTTAACCACAAATTGTCTCTGTTTTGGTCTCCAGTCCCTCATCATATTGCTCTAGCTGTCGTTGCTTTCAACCAGGATTGGACCAATAAATGTCTATCCTCCCACTCTCCTTCTTCTCCAGGTGATTTTGATCATCCTTGACACTCTGTGTTTAGTCCTTATGACTGCTCCTTCTTGACTGTCTCAGCTGTTGTTTCTGAACTTTTTCCAGCTCCAACTTCCTCCTCCATTACCTCTTCTTCTGACTCCATTCATTCTTTGCCACTCTCAGCCACTGGTGTTTCATCTCGATCTTCCTGCCCTCTGTCTTCACGCCTGGTTTTCCTCTTGTCATTGGCGAGGAGATCCGGCTTCTCCCTTCTCCAGACAGTTAACTTAGTTTCTGTCTTGTTTCATTAGCCCTTTCTCCAAATAAGTTTCTCAATGCAAATGAAGTGTTTTCCATCTTTGGTTTCTGGGTCCAGGGTTTTCCCCTGATCAACCCACTGTTCTTCATCATGAAAATTTCTCACTTGACTTTTTGGTCTGGGGTCTTCTGTCTCCTCGATCTCAGATTTTCGGGCTGCTCTGACCCACACCTTTCATTGTTCCCAATCCTGCAGGTATTTTCCTCCCCAACACTTCACCTGTTGATGTGTTCCTTCTGCATTTATCATCGCCACATCGACCTGTTCTTCCAGGTGGTGATATTAATGTGGTCCTGCACTGCCTCACTTTGCCTACATTTGAACTACTCTCCCAGTGCTCCTTGTTTCAGCTTCTCATATGTCTTCCATCCTTCTCCTATTCACCTGTGTATATCAGTGGTCTGTTTATTTGCCATTGATGTTTCACATATTCTTTATCCCTCTACATATCTTCTCCATTCTCTGGATTGTGTTTTCTCTTGAACTCTTCAGTGGCTCGTGAGGATAACTCTTTCATTTATCCTCTTTCCCTTCCTTCTGTTTCACATCTTTATCCTTGGCCTGACTGGATAGCCTTCTATGTCTTGTATGTGTTCTTCTCTCTTATATTACCCACACAGCTTCCTTCTGTGGTGTCCATTCCAGCCTTTTTCTTCCTTGGCAGCCTTCCTCTGTTCGTGATCTTTCTCCTTCCACCTTCACCAGTTAGGTTCAGCTTTTAACTTTATTACCTTATTCCTCTTTATTGTCTTCTTCCAGTACTCTGTTCTGGGTGTTTTATCATCCAATTCAACACCTTACCTTTTCATTGGCATTTCATCTTTGTCATCCCTTACAGATACTTTTTCAATTGGGTATGTGGACTACCCATGATATATTTGTCTCACTATTTTCATCAGATCGCAGTTTCTTCCTCTTCAGGTTATTATCTTCCACCTGTAGCCATTCTTCAGAATTCAGTGAGTCTTTGACTGGGTAAGTTATTTTTTCCATTTCAGGGGCCCTTTGCCCTTTTATTATTGCTCATTGTTTGGATCCTGCTCTGTAGCGATCAAATCTACATTGTAAGGGCATGTTGGCTTACGTATTATATTTCCATGGCCAAACAATGTGCACTGCAGAGATGGGGTGTTCCACAAGATTGCTTGTAGGTTTATCCTTGAAAGGGGATTTTAACGAAAAATTGGCCCATCCCAGGCTGTACTCACCCACAGACTACATGGGTAAAGCAGAAGTGGATAGCTGCCCATCCCTACCATGCCTTGTATTGAATAAATTGGTATGATCTGCTTTTAAAAATAAGGTTTTATTCTCACCCATTGCACTGTCTCGGGTATTGTTGTTCCTCTGGACTCTCCCCTGTGTTTTTTCCCCCTTTTCTTCAAGTGGAGTTTGAGAGTGCTTACCACTTTCCAGTTTCGAGCTGCTGGGGTGATGGACCATGGAGGCATTCTCCTGAATGGGTTAATGAAATACAAATTCAAACAAAATATTGAAATGATTATACAACCATTCAGCTGAGAGTAGGGAGATGGTGTTCTGCTGGTGTAGATGACGTGATAAACTCCATTATGATACATATATAAATGGGAGTGAGCCATCAAAACTGCAGTTCTCCCCTTTGATTGGGATCCCTCATCCTATCCCCATGTGGATGTCGATTTCCAATGGCTGGGTTTTGGATTTAGAGTTTAACCAATCAACATAAGTCCTCATGTGTATTACAGATGTCTGTATTCCTTCTTCATTTATACTCTTGTTACTCCAACTGTGTTGTGGGTCAGGATGGAGGTACTTGTAGATTATTATGGTTCTTCCCCTTCTGCCATACTTCGAAGCATATAATTACGAGAATGTTACTATGCTTGGGGCAGTTCCAGTGAATTTAACTTTTAAGGGAGATGGTTTATATTACACAGACATCTTTTAAACACCAGATGTTGGGTTCCCGGATCAATCTATCAATTTCTTATATGAACGTGTGCCCCATTCATTGGGAATTCTTGATTTTCTCCCATAAACTATAGGTATGATCCTATTTCCTACACCCACCAGATGGCTGGGTTTTGGATTGTAGTTGATTTGCCACTGGTATGATCCTTTTCCTTACCCCTACATGGATGTCAGAGTCCTGGGTTTTGGATTATAGTCAACTTGCCAGCGGCATGATCATATTTCCTACCCCCCACAAGGATTTCAGTTTTGAATTGTAGCTGACTTGCCACCAGTATAATTCTCTTTACTCCCCCACGTGGATGTTGGTTCCCAGTGGCCTGGATTTTGGATTGTAGTCAACTTGCCGGTGGTATGATCCTCATCTTACCCTTACATGGATGTTGGTTCCCAGCAGCTTGGATTTTGGATGTAGTTGACTTGCCATGTATGGTCCGTTGTACCCTAGCCACCCTACTCCTAAGACACATCCTTTTAATTCTACCCACTTTTATCATTTCTGAAATAGAGTTGCATAAATATTATATGGTTTGGATCACTATCTGACCTTAGTTCACTCCCACTTGGATGTTCTCCTCCATTTTCCACCCATATGTGTGCCATCCTTCTACAATGGGTGAAGAGTATACCTGGCTCAGTAGTTGTGCAATCCCCCACATCAGATCTTAGAATCTGACTATATCCCCTTAGGGGGTGTCCTTCAAAAACATACAAAGGATTCTTTCTTTCCCTTGCACTGGTCCCTCCACCTATTCAATGTGGAATTCTAGCTATTTATGTGAGAGGAGGTAATGTACCGTATCAGAAGTTATAATTTTCCTACATGAATAATGTATTTCCCCTAACTTTGCACCCTTCATCCCCACTGAAAACCAGTACTTCCATCTTCTGCCAAAACTCGAAGTGATAGTTCAGTAGAATTGAATAGAGGTAGTCACATGCGTCATGAGTGTGTGTTCTTGATGGTGGAGGGTTGATGCATGATGATTTGCATTAGAGATGCATTGGAATGAGTCAATTCTAATGATTGGGAGATAAAAGGCTTGTAGCATGCATAAAAAAGTTTGCATATAGAGGGCAGCACTGAACGAGAATAGCTATTTATGTAAGAGGTGGTAAGTACCTATTAGAAATACATTTTCTGTAAAGGAAAATAATAACTTTCAAGAGATATAGGACAACCTTTTATCATGAATTAATTTAACTCTCCAGTTAACTAGAGGAATAAACAATTCAGTCCACTATAAAAATGAATGCAGATAAACATTATTTTTCAATGTTAAAACAGTATTTTAAAGTATGATTAAAGGCATTGCAATAAAACCATTATTCAAAACACTGGCATATACACTTAATTCAATGTGAAACTGTATAAAAAAAGACATCATTTCTTTAGATTAATGGTGAAGTATATATGCCTAAACCTTTATTTTGATACACGGTTGTGTTTTCCCTTGAAGAATATTGACATTCTTACCCAGTGTGTTTTTTCGATGTCTTTTCTTTGAACTGTTTTTTTGGTTTTCACTTTAGGACAACCTTTTATCATGAATTAATTTAACTCTCCAGTTAACTAGAGGAATAAACAATTCAGTCCACTAGAACAATGAATGCAGATAAACATTATTTTTCAATGTTAAAACAGTATTTTAAAGTATGATTAAAGGCATTGCAATAAAACCATTATTCAAAACACTGGCATATACACTTAATTCAATGTGAAACTGTATAAAAAAAGCATCATTTCTTTAGATTAATGGTGAAGTATATATGCCTAAACCTTTATTTTGATACACGGTTGTGTTTTCCCTTGAAGAATATTGACATTCTTACCCAGTGTGTTTTTTCGATGTCTTTTCTTTGAACTGTTTTTTGGTTTTCACTTTGTTAGGCTGCTGAACTGAAGAAGCACACTTTAATTTGATCATTTTTAAAATTGAAATGTGCTACAGGTAAAACATGTGGGTTAATATAGAATTTTAGCAGAGTGTTCCAGTTGTCCAAAATTTGGTGATGTTGTATCAGTATTTCTCCTTGACAACCAAGTAAATGCAATGGCAAATTTCAGCCAATGATTATGATTTTTGTGAGCCAGCAATACCAAGAGTGGGGCGTTCACACGTACCCGATTCGATTTTATCACTCATTATAGTATCTACCAACCTACCCTCAAACCTAGTTGTATGCCCAAAGTAGTACATTGTTCATTATGTATATGTCTGTCTGGAAGAATTTTATAAAGACAAACTTGCTTCTCACAGGAGAAAGTGCCATTGTTTTGTGCAAATTCTGTGTCAATTGGTACCGCAATGGCTGAGGTATCGTTACAACAGACGGGCAGCTTTTTGTCTTTATATAGTATATGATTTTCTATAAATATTTCTTGTTGTTGGTTCCAAAATAGATCATCTTAACCTTTAAAGCTCTAATTTAAAGCTGCTGCCAACAATACTCATGGAAAGTATCTCTAATGTCATTTTAGTAAATAAAATAATAAAGATAAGGACAAAAAAAACATAAACCATTTTACAAAATAAATTTCAATATTCATTATCAAAGTACATAATAGTGAAGTAAAAGAGTAATTTAGTTGTTTTGATGAATTCATGAGAAAAGTATGTGCCATAAGTGAAGTTATATAAATAAGTTTTATTTTTGGTTGTGGTGTAATGTTATTTTCATGCCCTCACTGCAAAGCTTTACAGAGTGGGCATATTAATTTATCCCTGTATGTTTGCCCATCCATCTATCCTGATCTTGTGGAAAAGGTATCTTAAGATTGGATGAATGTATGTTGACCAAACTTAAAATAACAGGTAATAGGTACAAAGATATAGAGACAATTACATTTTGAGGGTCATGTCAATAGTCACTCGTAAACAGAAAATCTGCCTCAGTCTGGTGGAAAAAATTGGGGGAAAAACATACATTATAACATAGGAGCATAGGAGTTTCATAAACACAACTTGCACTTGTTAATACATGTTCTAAACCAATTTAATGCATTTGAAACACTATTAAGTGGGAAAAAATTAATGTTAAATTTTCCATAAAAATACAACAATTTAGAATACACATCATGTAAAATAAATGTACTCACGCTAGGTAATATTTTGTTTATGATTGTATATGTATAGTAAATAATAGTTTTTACTTAGTGTTTAATACAAACATTAGAACATAAATTGTCTTTTTTTCAGATATCAATGAGTGTTTAGAAGCTGGTGCTATGTGTGCCTTCCGCTGCCAGAATACTCCAGGTTCGTTCAAATGTGTGTGTCCATATGGTTATGCACTTGCTCCAGATGGTAGACATTGTCAAGGTGAGTAGAAGTGATTGGTGGTCATTTTTATTTTCTTAGCAAATAGTGGGAAAAGGACTGTTTTCATTTGATAATACAGAATGCAAACTTTAAAAATCTGAGAAAAAGGGATTAAGGTTAAGGTCCAAAGTTAAAATATTTGTGCTAGCTGTCCCTAATTTAGCAGCGTAAGACTACAGGGAAGGCAGCTAGTCATCACCACCCACCACCAACTCTTGGGCTACTCTTTTACCAACGAATAGTGGGATTGACCATCACATTATAATGCCCCCACAGCTGAAAGGGCAAGCATGTTTAGTGGGACAGGGAATCGAACCCACGACCCTCAAATTGCGAATTGAGCACCCTAACCACCTGACCATGCCGGACCCAATTTTTTTTAGGACATTAATAGAACTTATTTTGTTCATATTCTGCATTAATAGATTAGTTTATGCATTTGATACTTTTAGAGATTACCATTACATTTGCACAATTTCCTAATACTCTCTACAGTAAACAATGTGAGTTGGAGTTGCTTACATCAGCTGATGAATATTGTCTAGTAATGTTGCCCAGAGGGCACTCTTTAAAAAAGTTACTTGTGAACATTATATTTACACTATGCCAGAGATGGTGTTAAAACCAAGACTGAGATCAATCTTTAGTAAACCATGATCCTATCAGACTTGCATTGCATAGGCAATATTTTACTTGCTAGACTAATTGTCTGCAAATACCAAATTAAAGCCTTTCGTGCTGGTGTTCAAACATAGCTTTTTGCTGCTATAAATGTATCTGTCAGTTGGCATACATACCTATACGTTGCCAAATAAAAATAATAGGGTATTTATTTCAATATAAACAATAATTTCAAGAACTGTAAAATTTTTGTTAACTTTGTTATAGTTTCACTCTGTCCACTTAGGAATACACACCAGAAAGATATGTAGAACAGTTATTTTGGTAAAGCTAAGTTGTATGACATTGATATTCTGTTGACATTCAGTGAACATTTAACAACAATTAAACCTATTTTCAATGAGGTTGAACTAACAAAATTTAATGTAAATGCAACTGAAAAGGAATTATATTTTTAAGTGACATTCGGTTTATACTTAGCAAGAATTAAATATAATTCTTGATAAGGATGTCCAATTGATATATTTCTATTTGGATAATTTAGTCAATAACAAAAGGTAATTTCAACACTAAGAGATGACTAAAGATCAATGCACAGCAAATATTTACCAATGCCAGGATTCTTATTGAAATGGATTTAATTCTTGTTAAATGTTCATTATTAATAATGATTAATTAAATGTGATGCACATATCTATTAGCATGACAAGTAAATATCTATTTAAGCCATGCAATTTAAAGCATTACCATTATTTTTATTAGTTTTTGCATTTGTTTGCACATTTTCAAGAATGATAGCCTTCTTTGCAAGTGGTTGTTGCATTTTAAAAACACTAAAGATGAGAGAAGTCTTGGTGATATTTTTGCTCAATGTGGTCTCATGAACAACCCCCCTCTCCCCTGGCTGAAGACCCTTTCTACTACCACTCATGTTGAAGGGTTGGAGAAAATCGTTTTGTAGAATGGATGAAGTTTAGAAGAGATGGCTTTTTTTTTAAACTTCTCCAAGAATTTGGTTGTTCTAATAGTAATGGAAACATTTGCAAAAGTGATAAAAAAAAGAGAGAGAGTAGATTGTTATAGATTGAGGACTTGGTCCTTAAGATTATTGCTGATGCTTTACATATGATACAGAAAGAACTGAATGAGTGCTTTTCAGTCTATCATACAACAGTGCTGTTAGGTGCCCTTTCAATTGATTCTGGATTAGGAAGACTATTTGCTTCTTTGAAAATAGCATCAATGATATTATTCCTTAAGGCAGATTTTACTTCTTCCAATCATAGATGATCATCTTCCTACCAATCAAAACCATAGTTCAGATCCAGAACACTAACCATGAGATAAATGTATTGTCTGAGACTGTATGTTTTCACAAATAAAATCATTGTGTGAAGTTATTTGCAACTTGAGGTAGAGATGATGTCAAGACCAAAACTGAAATCTGAGCAGTCGAGACCAAGACCTCATAATTTGATCTCAAGGCTAGTTTCAAGTTCCAATTTCTTTACTATGCTAATAAAAATTATGGTTGGGACCATTTTCTTTAATTTTTTCTTTTGTTTTGTTTTTTCATGTTTTATTTAGATCTGGATGAATGTGATACTCCTGCAAATACTTGTCGCTATCAGTGTAAAAACCTTGTTGGATCATTCATGTGTATTTGTCCTGATGGCTATGAGCAAGTTGGTGTTGGAGATAACTGTCGTGGTATGTATTGAAAGAAAATTATAATGCTCCATGTAGACTGTGTGTCTAGAAATTGCCAGTTATTTTTGTTACTGTAAATTGTAATAGTGTTTCATTATTACTAAATGGATATTGGTTATTTTTCATAAAACTGTGTTTATAAGTTTTAATTGTTGGTAGATGTGTTGTTATAATTAGATTAGTAGATATTTATATTTTATAAGTAGGGTGTCTAAATACTCAGTTAAACTTTTGTTAGTTTCCCATTGAATTGTTCTTAAAAATGACTTTTATCTTACCAGTTAGGTAATATATATTATGAAAATGTGTTACCTCACCTGTAAAGTAAAATATATTAACAATTATTTTTTGGATCTTTAAAATACTAGTATCTTCTTCAAAATTAATAATTGCATATCCTTAATAAAATAGATATTGATGAGTGTGCAATCACAAGGGACCTGTGCAAAAATGGACGATGTGTAAACACCCGAGGTAGTTTCCGATGTGAATGTTTTGATGGATTTGAAACCAGTGCAGATGAACAATACTGCATAGGTATGAAACTGTAAATCAAAAAAAAAAGTTAAACCATTTTATAATTTTTTTTTATTTATATTGTTCTATATGAACTATAATTTTTTTTATAATGTATCAGTTCATTTGTAATTAAAATGAAATAAAGTCAGTGTTTAAAATATAGAAATTTGATTTTCTAATTATTTCATTTGCCTGTTGCTTCACTGAATACAAATGTTTTTGTATGTTAATAGAACTAAGCCTTGTTCTTCTGCAGATGTTAGAGTGGGATTCTGCTTCGTGCATGCTCCAGGAGGACTGTGCTCTGGTAATACAGAAAACATGCGACAAATTACAAAGGCAGATTGCTGCTGTGGAATGGGAGCAGCTTGGGGTCCACAATGTGATGTTTGTCCACATCGTGGAACTAGTAAGTAGAAGTTCACAATTTGATCTTAACATATGATGAAACTAATACATGAAATACCATTTTTGTAGCAATGTATTCATCATACACCTAGTTATTAAGTGCTAATATTATGCCTTTTATCGTCACTTGTGACCAGCATCTACTTAATGGACTAGTAAACAAAGAGAACAGTATAACTAATTCCCCATCATTTACCTCATAATCATAGCTTCCAGCTTAATGAAGTAGCTAATAGATGCTATTTAACTTTTGTCTATGACATGGACTTTGTAAAGGTTTACATTGTGGCTTGTTTACCTGACACAAAACTAGTTAATAAAAACTTGCATTGTAACAAGGATTCACCAGTTAAGAAATTGTAATGTGTCTTTATTCATTACCCTTTCCAGCTAAGTGGCAGTATATTGTCTCTTCTATATTTGCTCTTGTTATGTCTTCACAGAGAGGCATATTGTTTTTCAAGTGTTTCTTCTTCTTCATCCAAACACTTTTCAAACAATTGCCTTTCCTTCATTTCTTGAAGGATTGATTTGAAACTTTGTATGGTTATACCTTGTTCTAATATGCCCAGACACTTTTTCATTCTTTTCTTATTTAGATGTTTTTAAGGATGTTATGGGGTCAAAGATAAAACAACCCAAAAATGTATATTTTGATCTCCTGTGCAATCTTACCTCCTCTAACCCAAAGCTATCTCAATCCTGGTCTGCCCTCTAAGCATTGCTAAAAAATTTTCACAAACAGTGCATCAGTCTTTTATACCCCCTCAGTTTTGTGCCATTTCAGAACATGCTGATCATGTGACTAACCTCCACCAATCATAATGTGCCATCTATAATAGCAGAGCTAGCTCCCTCTACTATTCTAGAACAATCCCCACTTTCTTGATTGGCATTAGAATGTCTTGAGATGTATAATAATGCTTGGAGACGACTTGAATGGGTAATGAAGAAAAACTTTAATATAAGTTTTTCTTCATTACCCATTCAAGCCGTCTCCAAGCATTATTAGTCTCAAAGTGGGTTCCTCGTCATCGAATTTGACTTCAGATGTGTTTAATTCATTCTACGTGTGACTACTGCAATTAAGTTGTGATTTCTTATTAGTATTTCTCAGTTTCAACCTTCCAGTTTCGACTTTAGTGTTTGCTTTAGATTATTTAGTTTTGTTTTCAAGAGTTGATTGTTTCTTGAATTCTACTTTGTAATATGAGTTCGAGTTTTAATGTGGCAGAGGATGACATTGCCATAAATCTAGACAATGGCAATGGCACTAGTCCCCAGCATAGTAGGATAATGATATCTGCTGAGGAAGTTCAAGCTTTAATTCGCAGGCAGTTAGAGGCTTATGTTCGGCTGTTGATGGCTTCTCCCTTTCCTCTTGAACATGCTTCTGAAGAATAATTTTATCCGGATGAAGTCAAGAGAGTTCACCAGTCTCCCTTTTCCTAAACCTTATTGATTTGGTATGTCAATTTTTACATGTTTCACCTTTAGCTCTTGATTCCTTGCCTTCATTGTTAGGTGAAGAGCCTCATTCAGATTATTATGTTTTTCTCCCTCACCCAACATAAGGGTTTATACTCAACGGATTTGCTGAACAATTGTTGTTGGGGTGGATATACCTCATCCCTTTCAATTGATAGACCAGTATTCATTAGCTTACCAGCTGGCTTCGGATCCATTTTTGGATTCCCAGCATTTAGATCCTCTCCTCCCCCTGTGGGGTTCAAATTGGGGGCTTTAATTCATTTTAATCAGTCCCAATTTTCAAGGATTTGTCTTGCCCTGACCTCCCTTTTACATACCATTTTCTCTCTACAATTGTTGTCTCAAGCCTTTTACCAGTCACTTGATCACTATTCTGATAGACTCAGGACCCTCCTGTGGTATACTGTGGCTCGTTTATCGGTATCAGGGCCATATTTCAACACCTCTTAGTGGTCAGTCAAGGAGACTATTCTCCATACCAACATCTTAGAACTTTTGACAGTTCATCGGGCTCTATATCATCTCCTCTAGCTCCTGCAGGGGTGAGTGGTTATGGTTCATTCCAACAGTTCTACTGTCATCAGCTATATCACCAAGCAAGGGGGAACCACGTCCAGATCTCTGTGTTTTCAGACTCTGAAACTCACGTATTGGGCCCACTAACACAACATGATGGTCCTGACTTGTCATGTTTCTGAAATTATGAATCTTATAGCCAGTTGTTTATCTCATCCAAACCAGGTTCTCCCCATGGACTGGTCCCTTCATCCATAAGTTTTCTAAACTTAGAACACCCCATATAGATGTGTTTGCCACTCGCTGCAATGCCGAACTTTCTTCCTTTTGGTCTTCACTTCCACTCCCCTCAGCTCTGTGGGTGGATGCATTTGGTCAAAATTGAAGGGGTCTTCCCCTATATGCCTACCCTCCGATCAGACTACTCTTCAGACCACTTCTTGTTATGTTCTGCTAGTTGCTACATCTTGGCCTGCTCAGACGTGGTTCCCTCTGCTCTTACCTCTGTCCTTGTCACTCCTCAGACAACGTGTAGCATCTTTCCTTGCCTATTCCAATTGACCTTCCACCTTGTCTGTGTACCAGAGGTAGTGGTCTACCTTAAGACCTTAGTCCATTTGCCATGGCTTTTGCTCTCCCCTCCTTTGGTACCTCATCTTTTTCAATTTTTTGACTGGTTGTTTGAACAAGGTTGGGCTATGTCAACTGTTTCTAATTATAGGGCTGCCCTGTCCCAATTCTCCCGTTTCCAGAAAGCTTTCTTCTTACCTGTTATTTCCCTCCTTTTCTGTTCCTTTCATCTTATCCATCCTCCACATATACCTTTATTTAGCCAAACTGGATCTCAATTTTGTCCTTCATGCCCTGTTCAGTTCTCTATTTGAATCCATTGCTATGAGTTTCTTGTACCATCTTTCCCGTAAGCCCTCCTTCTTACTTGAGGTCATTGTCATTCCAATATTTATACCATTGATGTTTCCCACTTCTTTTACCATTCCTCATATGTTATCCTCTATCTTGATTCTCTGTCTTCACTGGCCTTTGGAGGAGACCCTTCAGATTGGGATGTGGACAACTCCCAACACATTTGTTGCACATTATCTGCATGACCTGGCTGTGTCTTCCTCGGGTAGGTATTGTCTTCCTTCTAAACACATCTGTTCACCTTTGACTGGGATAAGTCAACATGCTATTTTTTCATCTAATGTAGTTGAAATACATCATATTTCAGGATCCCACTTTGTGATGGGTGTTGCCTGGTCAGGTATGCTTAATATTATATTAGCATTAAATATGTATACTTCTATAATGGCACCATACTAAAGCTCACTATCACTATGTTCGATACTACGGCTTGCTACATATGTGGATGAAGTATGACATATATGTTGACAGTAGGCTGGTTATGAAAACCCTCACAATCACACTCATGCCTGTAATTTTTTTTTCATAATCCCACATATCTAAGACAGTTCATCTGGATGTTTTTTGACCAGGAGAACTGCACTTGTTGACCACAATATCTCATACAATGTGTCTCCACTGGATGTTTTGCCCAGATGGACTGCACTTGGCATTCTCCGATGTAACCCAAAGCACTTCCCTTGGCACATACTTATAGGGGCCCATTGTTGCTTACACACTAGACTTTCCATCAATACCATGCTGTTTTAAGTCATAGTTATACAACACTTCTCCACTGATTTAGTACTGTACATCTTATTCATAAATGCATTGGCCACATTGGAATTGCATGGTGGAGACATGTTGCATTTGCCCATGAATGTTGGCCTCTTTAATTAAACTAATAACTCATATATCAATGTATCTGAAAAACATATATTTCAAACATAAAACATAATAACCATTGAGCATTATTAATGTGAATTTCAATTTTTGGTAATTTTATAACTTTTAATGTGACGTAATTGTATACAGTTAATGCTGTTACATAATACATCCATAATCATTGACCCCTAAAATCCAGGTTTTTCACATGCTGATAAGCAGTAACTCAAACAAAAGTCTATTGATGTTTCACTAGCCAATTTTATTGAAGAAAACTTGTATATTGTTAAAACTCATATAATATATATCTTACTGTATCTTATTCATGAAAATATATCATTTTGTATAGATTTCTGCTAATTTCTAAGCTCATGCCACATTGTTGTCCACTTTATGACTAAGAGTTTCAAATTACTAGCAGAAGCTTTTGTAAAGCAAAAAAAAAAAAACTGTCAAAGTAATTACTTCAATAAAATAAACAAGTAAAGGAACCAATAAAACTAATCTGTTACCTAGTGATTTGTAAAACGATATAATTACTTCTTTTGACTTGTAATCAATACATCTTATAATTATATTAGCTTTACTACTAGCAACAGAACACTGTCTAAATGGATTGAGTGACTTATCTACTACTATGCCAAAATATTTTTCTTCAACTATGCTATTGAGTGGGTTCCCATCTATATTACTTAGATCCAAGTCCTGATAAACCAAATGCATTACCTTTAATTTTCTGTGTTGCAAATTATATGTCCAACTAACCAATCTGTTTGTGCAAACTCAGTTAATTTTTATCCTCTACCAAAAATAAACTTTGTAACTACTGCTTTCAAGAAGAATAACTACTTGTGTTTGAATATTATGAAAAATACAACAACTGTCTCATTTCATCCATTTATTGCACATAAAACACAATTTCTTTATTTCATCAATGATACACTTTTTCAGACTGTAATTTTCATTAGAGAAAAATGTTATTTCCGAAACAATAACTCATCTTCTCACATAGAAATGTCATCTTCCTGGTGTGTCTGCCTATGAAATTTTCAGGTTGCTAGCCTTGAGGTAACTCCCACCTAAATTCACGTGTTTGAAGGGAATTATGTTGGTGCAAGATGATGTCAATTTGCAACAAAAGTCCTTCACCAATAGGAGAGTGACATAACCTCCATGTGCAGTAACTCCCTTTATGCATTTGCACTC